TGGAGACGATTGTATGTACATACAAAGGTAGCCAAGACGTAAACTGGCCCGCTTGACTACTGATATGGGTGCCTGAAGAGACACTGACATTTGGGGCCAATAAGAAGACAACAGAAATGGGAAAAGGGGAAGGCAGTGAGCGAAAAAATATGAATATGATTCTTTGAAAAAAGCAGTGCAATTGTTAGAGGTGCTCTGGGCTGCAATTAATGGAGGTGTAGACAAAAAAGACATTTCATGGGCACCTGGGTGGCTCGGTTGGTTAAGCAACTGCCTTCGGCTCAGGTGATGATCCTGGAGTCCCGGGATCGAGTCCCGCATCGGGCTCCCTGCTCAGCGGGGAGTCTACTTCTGTGTCTGACCCTTCCCCCTCTCATGTTCTCTCTCTCATTCTCTCTCTCTCTCTCAGATAAATAAATAAAATCTTTTTAAATTTTAAAAAAGGCATTTCATTCTCATGCAGAAGAAGTCTGAGGGCAATGGGCTGTTCTAGGAACAATTAACTATCCGGTGACGTTATTCGTGGATGTATCTGATGATGTTCAAAGACGGACTAGGTAAGTGCCTCTGAGATCCTCTTAATTTTTTCCTCAGAGTCGCAGACAAAGGCGGCAGCATCTCCACTCCTCACATGAAAGCATCCAAAAAAGGAAGACCTTCTCTCACCACCTTTGTTAAGGAGAAAAAGATTTCCAAGAAGCCTCTGAGCCAACCTCCTGCATGTCAGAATGTCATCCCTGGTCACCCTTCACCACCAGGAAGCTGGGAAAATAAGTATCCCACCATATGATTTAATACAGTCACATATAGCTCTCTAACTCTCTCATCAAATCCAGCTGACTTGACCTAAGTCACTATCAATCCTGTCCACCTCTCTCCATCTCCACTGCTGATAACCGATGAGGTTTATTGGGTGTGTGCTACGTGCAAGGCATTATTCTATGCACTTCACAATTACTAACTCACTTAAGCCTTCCAACAACCCTATGAAGTGGATTACACTAATTATTTTATACATTAGGAAACTGGGAAATAGAAATGTTAAGTAACTTCATCAAATTCACGTAAATACGTGACAGAAGCATTCTTAAGAATTCATATCTTCCCTAAAACTAATGTAACACTGTGTATCAACCATACTCAAGAAAAAAAAGTACAAAAAGAAATTTGTATCTTAATTGGCACACTACACTGCCTCTTTTTTTTAATATTTTATTTATTTGAGAGTGAGAGAGAGCTCGTAGAGAGAGAGCACGAGTGGGGGGAGGGGCAGAGGGAGAGGGAGAAGTGGACTCCCTGCTGAGCGGGGCTCAGTCCCAGGAGCCTGGGATCATGACCTGAGCTGAAGACAAGTCTCAACTTCCCCACCTGTAAGTGGGAATAATGACACGATGGGATACTAAATATGATGTGTTAGGGAACCTGTCAACAAACCCTCATTAGATCTTTCTTCCCAGATGCATCTTTGTGTCCCAGTGGGCCAATGACATGAGCTGGGAGGCTTCACAGCTGAGATCTGGTGGCCTCCCCACTTCTCACATAGTGCATTGCAGGCCACGGCATTCTTCTCCACTTGTTGGTCTGCATGATGCCACCATGTGGAAATATGCGAAAAATACTAGAGTAAGAGGTTAAGGGTTTGCTAGTGATGTGGGAAACTAAAGGCAGAAGGAAACGTAGATAAAATTAAATGTCCTTATAACCTGCAGCCCACTGACAGATACTTGAGATAGGCAGATTATAATATTCCTCCAGGATCCTGAGTCTTCTTTAGCAGATCAAAGTCTGTTTGGAACTTCCCTTATCTTTACTTCTCCCAACCCCAAGGTTTATAATCACTTGCTCCTCACCACCCCGGAGCAGCAGAGAACAGCAGGTAAAAGCTCTTTCTGCCCACGGGTCCTGTCCCTGTGCTTTAACAAAAGCACCATTTTGCACCAAGACATCTCAAGAATCCCTTCTTGGCTATTAGTCTGGACCTCACCCTACCAACACCAACACACAAACATTCAAAAACTACATCACTAGCAGCAGAGGGAAAGAAGGGGACAGAATAAATATGGCATGTGTTAAGTATCCACTAAGTGCCAGGCATTTTCATATATTATCTCATTTAATACTTAGCAAAAGAAAATCTGATTCTACAAATGAGGAAACGGAGGTTCAGACAGGTTAAGTGTCTCACTCACGGTCTCAGAGAAAGTAAGTGGTGAAGACCAAACTTGAACCCAACTCTCTGGTTTCTCCATAGGACTTGCTCCTGCCACCCCAGGACACTACCCCCAAAATGATTCTCTTCCTCGTGCTTGCTTCCAGGTAAGTGTGCATTAAAAGACCCAAGGCTTCTTTTAGGCAAGTTTAAAGTCAACCTGATCCTGTTCTAGGTGGGAAGAACTGGCTATTTAGTAGTATGGGAGCATACAGCGTCTCAAAATTTCATTAAATATCTGCAAATAAATTACACATGCTAGAGTCTTTCTTTTAAAAAGGTACATGCCACTCAAGTAGAAAAACTAACTCTGAATTCAAAATGCCCAATACTAAAAGGTTGACTAGAGAATTTTTTTAATTAACCTAATTTTGAATGAGCTTTAATTAATGAATTAAAAGTAGTCATTATCATAGTCTGGGTCTAAATGAAGTTACATGACATGAAAGCTGAGGTCTAAAAGGGAGAGGGAAGACAGAGGAAGTCATTCTCCTCTCTCTCACATTCAACCCTAGACATGAGCTCGAAATGAAGAACTAGTTCCCAAGATCCCATAGAACTGGTTCCAACACACAACCCGTACACTGTGGTTACCCAAAATGTAATCCACCTACTGCCTGCCTCCAAATCTCCTGGGACCTTGGCTGGAATGCCATTTCCGGGGCCTGCTCCAGGCATATAAATTCACATTCTCTGAGGATGACTCCTAGGAACCAGCACTTTAACAAACACCCCCTAGATGTTTCTGATCATCCCAAAGAGTGCAAACAGCTTTAGGAGCTCAGTAAAAATGTAAACGTCACGATGACTCCACATATTTATTTTATGGGGAGTTAATTTGGTATAAGAACCTTGACTTTTTTTTTTTAAAGATTTTATTTATTTGACAGAGAGAGCACAAGTAGAGGGAGAGAGAGGGAGAAGCAGGCTCCCTGCTGAGCAAGGAGCCCAATGTGGGACTCGATCCCAGGACCCTAGGATCATGGCCCGGGCCGAAGGCAGCTGCTTAACCGACTGAGCCACCCAGGAGTCCCTGAACCTTGACATTTTTTGAATAAATATTATCCCAGCAACTATAAAGGCCAAGCATTCCCACTTTCAAAATGGGGGAAATCAAATCTTGAAATATATACGGCACATTCTCCCCTTACACGTAGTCCACAATCAACTGCCTTGCAGCTAGAACAGAAATCAACAGTCACCAATTCACTGATTAGGATGTTTCACAAGGCACTTGATTAACTCACCTTTGTATTCAATTCCTAGTTAATTTTATCTTGTGAGGGAATGGCATTTTTCTAAATTTATAACTTCAGTATGCTTCTTAGTGGAGAATAGACTCCCTGAGTCAACGCTTTCCTTCTTCTGTACAACCCCCAGAAGAGGTAATTTTTTTTTTTAGATAAACTATTTCCTTCTCTGACTCCTCTCTACTGGTTGAAGACAGTCTTCAAACCCACCCTCTTGCCTGCTAGCTTACCAATTAAAGTTCTGGATATGGGCAATTAATTTTTAAAAAGAAACCCAAGAGTTGAACAGCTCCTCGTGATTAGGCAAGCTCCTCTTTATCCCTCCCCAGTTTAGAGGTCTCTGTTCCGTTGTTTCTTGGGACTTGCCCCAAGCTTAAGGGTTCCTCCAAACTTGAGGGTCAAGTACACAAGGCAATAATTAAACAGTCTCCCCATCTGGGGGAGCTCTGAGAGTTCCATCACCTTGGAAAACAGCAGCAGGCTCCCTGAATATGCACAGAGAGAATAATTTTTAAGCACCATAAGAAAACAGGGTTCACTTATCCCCAAATGTAAGAGTCACGATTCAAAACTGTCACTGACTGGGAAGCATCTTTAGTCAGGAATAGTATCTTCAAGCTGACAAGTCACAAATAGGTGTACTTTTGCTAACCAGACTGGTAGTTGGGAAAAAGCTCAAAAATATCCCATCCTCATCTTTATTTTTTTCTGCTAAAAATGGAATGGCTTCCACTTACCAAACTAGCCAAGCCACTGCTGATGGAGGTACCACCTCCGGCACGGGGCATATGCACAGTAAATATTAGACATCAAGTTACCTAGGTCGTTTGTAGAAATCCCGATTTTGGAAAAAGAAATATAGAAGATACACTCATAGAAGACATTTTGAGCCTTAAAATGGAACTGCTTGCTTTGATGCAAATGGGCAAATGGCCACGGGGAGGCAGGGGGGGACATGGGTAAATTCTCTCAGACTAACCTTTCTAGTATTATAAGTTATCTAGTTGGAGTCGTTGGTACATTGTCTGTTGAGCGAGCAAGTGAATGAAATCAGTTCTTTGCTTATTATGTGCGCTGAAAAGGGCTAACCAACATTAACCAAGTGACCTCTCCTCTGTTGTTTCTTCCACAATAAATTCAATCAAATTTACGGAGCGCCTAGCCTGTGCCAGGCACTGTGCCAGGCGCCGGAGATACAAAGATTAATGAAGCAAAGTTCAGGTTTCTTAATGATTTCTTAAGATTTGCGAGGGCATAGCCTCGCTCCCCCTTCCACTGCAGCCTGGACGGCTGCTAACCAGTCGTGGGAGTGCGTACTCTACAGCTCCCTGCTTCTGGGAGCGCGTTACTCCCAGGCCAGCCCACGAACCTAGCGACAGGGCTCTCCCCGCGTTCCCCAAGAGTCAAACAATCAAGTTCAACTCAGGAGCTGCGGCTCTCGCTCCGCGCGCAGCGACTCCGGGCTGCGCAGCGCACCGCGCGGGATTCCTTCCACCTGTCCGCGCGCCCGTCGGGGTGCACCAGACCCCGCGCCCGCTTACTTTGCCGCTGTCGCTCACGCCGAGGAGGTGATCCCGCAGCACCTCCATGGGGCAAGTCCAGGTGGAGTGGATGAATGTCCCTCGGAAGATGTGCGCCAGGGACGGCATCGGGGCGGCACACATGTCAGCGGCGGCGCGCGGCGCGGTGTTCGCGAACCGAGGAGAGCGCACCCGGCGGAGGTGAGGCGAGGGGTCCCTGCGACTTGCGGGCTGCTGCTGGGCGCACCTGCTGGGGCCTCGGACTGCCCCCGCTTTCCCGAGCGACAGCCTGCCCCCTGCAGGCCGCGCCCAGGGGCGGGCTTCCTGCCTCCTCGATGCCAATAGGATTTTTCTCCTGTGACTTGGCTCCGCGCTCCCTTGGGGTGTGGTCTTTCTCTCCTCCCCTGTGTTAGTTTTTGATAGGTTAACTCTTTGAGTTTCCAAAATCATCGCTCACAACGCAGTACTTTTAACCTCGGGTGGCTGAGTTACCGATCCAGGGGAGAGAGGAGAGGGAGATAAAGGAAGGGGCAGGAGGAGCCCAGGGTTCCAGCCCTGCACCTTAGCTGGTCACTAAATTTGCTATCGCTCCCTGTACCCCAGCCTCCTCCACCTTTCTTTATTGGCATACCTAGATTTGCGTCTGCCTGCTTTCTCTTGCCCTTTAAACCTCGGGCTATTTGTGACCAAACCTTGTACGTTCTCAACCTGTAGCACCCTCAAGGTCTGAACGGGCACAAGTTCAGGAAAAGGTGGAAGGGTCAGTTGGAGCTGCCTGCTTTACCGACCAGTTTCATTTTCAGTTTCTGCAGGTTGCAGAATTTGTCCTAACCTGATGTTCTGAAAGCATCTCTTAACGGAATTACGGGGCCCCCCACCGGCAGAGGTTGATCTGTACCCCAAAGCCCCTCTCTCCCACCTTGAGGCCAGTGTTTTTGGCCCTTGTGTCCCTCCACAAACAATTCCATTTCCCGTCGTTCTCTCACCTAAAATAAATGAATCTCTTTGATTCAATTCCACTTATACCCGGGGAGAAAATTAAGTTCTCAAGCTGAGTGGCTAGGAATGGCAGTGTGGCATGGCGTGCTGGAAAGAGCACCGGATTAGCAATTAATAGACTGTGGTCAAGGCAGCGAGCCTCGGAGTCTTATTTTCATGTGTGAAAATGGAACTTAGACCGGGTGGTTGCTAAGACTGCTTCCAGATCGGCATTCTTTCCTCGTACTGCATTCACAAAGTCCTTCACTAAGTTCCTCCAGGAAGACCACCTGGTTTCCACTCATGCCTCACACATTCGACTCTTTCTGCCCCTAATGCCTCCTGAGGATCTCCACATGACTGGCTCTTCTCATCACTGGTTTGCCTCCAGTGTAGCTCTCCCGGGTAACCTTCCCCCACCACCGAACTAGTAGCAACACCCCACCCCCGAAATTTCTATTCCATCAATTCATCTTGTTTCTGCCATTGTATTCATCATATCCATCCTCATATATTTCATGTGTTTTCATTTATTTCTGCCCCTCTTGCCCCAACACGCACACACAGAGTAATGGAAGCACCACAAGACCAGGGCTCTTATGCCTAGAACCCTGCTTGGTGTTTCGTACATATTTATTGAATAAATGTATGAATAGTTTTTGGGGGGAGCAGAGCAATAACCTGAGATAAATATCTATTCTGGGTCCTACCTACAGGATAAGGGTTTCTCATTTCAGGGCATGAGTGGGCTTTCCCTGAATTGTCACCATTATGACACAGGGCTAGTTTACATAAATGATTCATTCCGTTCTCAGCTCCTTCACCTCAAGGAAACTCTGCAGTCCAGGGCGCACTGAGGTGGCTGGTCACCCTACCAAGGATTCAGAATTGGGAAGCCCTGAAGCTAAGAACATTGCACTTGCTTCTTGACGTTGCCGTATTAGCTCTTTCTCCTTATCATTGTCTCCTGATTCTGCAGACTTCGCTCCCTCCTTGTAGTTCCAATGGCCAACACAGTGAAAACAGCCTCTTGACCCTAGGCTTGTCTACCTACGAACCTCAGAAAGAAAAGTGAAGAAAATGTCTGTGTCTTAGTTTGAAAAAGGAGTCAATTAAATGTTTCCAAAAGAGGTATTGGTTCCCTAAAACAGATGCAGCTAATTTTTTTTTTAATGAAAGCAAACTGAGTGACCAACAATAGAGACTAGTTTAGTAAATTAGAATCCATTTACTCAGTAGACTATTATGTAGTTGTTAAAAATGGGGGAACTATGTAGCCACATGGGCGTTGCATATAATAAAATGGTAAGGTTTTTAAAATGTCATTTATGCTCTGGTTAAAATCATGAAAAACCTATAGGCATAGAGGCTAGAATTTCAAAGTGGATCTAAACAGTGGGTAGCATTCTACTGAGGAAATGGAATTGCTAGGGAATTGTGTTTTGATGTTTGTTGACGTTGTTATGTGTGGCTTATGGAACAAGTAATTATTGTGTAGCTTTAAATAAAGTTCATCTTAAACAGAAGGAATGGTCATGGGCCTCCAGGGGACACAGCATTAGCACTCCTTGGGGGTTAGCTCTTCCAAGCAGTACTCTCTCCCAATTCAATTCCCAGCCAAGTTGCAGGCACTGCACTTAGGATACGGTAGCCTCAGTTCAGCCAGGTGTCAGGAAATCTTGGCTTCCCAACTATTCTCATGTGTTTTCCACCCTCGTCCTTTACTTCGCAGGTCCCCCTGCAGTTTTGACTCCCATCTTGGTATCCCCTGGGAAATGTTCTCAAGGCCACTGAAGTTTGGAGGAAGAAAGGAGTGTGGAGCTTTTATATTCACCTTTGAAACATGGCCCAAGCACATCACAAGACAGCTTCTGGTTAATATGGTTATTCTGACTCGGCAAAGCATGTCCTGTGCTTCCAAAGTCTCAAGGAAATAGCAGTTTCTCTTCTTCAGCTCTTTCTATAGCCCACGTTTATATTCATGCCATATTAGAACTGAAAGGACCTAAGAAGTTAGTGTTCAGTGTGCATTTCCCTGCTATTTCTTCATATCACTATTCTGTCAGCAATGGCTCGTTTCAACCCTCACCAACTCAATTTCTCAAAAGGAAATCCAACAATGGTATGCACTTTCAGGGCCCTACCACACGTATCACTTCCTTCCAAAGAAAAGAGACGCTCCTTGGTATGGAGGCTTCCTGAAGCCCTCGCTGCTTCTTCCGGCTCTTCTCCCTCCACTATCCCACATACTGTGCATCTGCTTTGCTCACGATCTCTGCCTGCAGCGCCCTTAAGCCACCTTACACCGCGCCTGCCTTATTCTACTACCCACTCTCCCCTGGCTAAATCCTTCAGCTTAATTGCCCATTCCCAACCCCTTCCAGAACATCTTTACACCTCCTCGCTCTCTCTCAGGTACTAAGTGCTCCTTCTCTGAGTTTGTGGGGTGCTATAATTGTTCCTTCATTATTTATCTCCACCAGAAGATTATGTTCTACTTAAGGACCATGTCTCCTTCCTTTTTTTCTCTGTATCCCCTTAACATAGTGCCTGGCCAATAGGAGGTACTCAGTAGACTTATATAAATATTGGATCTCAAGTGATGGCTCTATTGCCTATATTTTAGTGATTAAAAAAATCTATAGGGGTGCCTGGGTAGTTCAGTCATTAAGCGTCTACCTTCGGCTCAGGTCATGGTCCCAGGGTCCTGGGATCGAGCCCCGCATCGGGCTCCCTGCTCGGCAGGAAGCCTGCTTCCCCCTCTCCCACTCCCCCTGCTTGTGTTCCCTCTCTTGCTGTCTCTCTCTCTGTCAAATAAATAAATAAAATCTTAAAAAAAATAATCTATGGGGGGGTGTGCTAATGGTGATCAATTCATTAGGACTAAAAGTTAAGAAAGAGTTTCATTTCGCTTAGTTTTCCAACATTTTATTATGACAATTTTCAAATACATAGAAAAGTTGAACAGCTTCATTTCTCAAGATCACAATTCTCCCTACCTTAGATGTAGCCAGGTGATCTCAAAACCCCACAACTACTGGGAGGGACCAGTGTATTCTGAACCTGTAACTGCCTGAGGCAAAGGACAGGAGCATAGCATGATCAGTTTTGACATTTTGGTCACTTTATTCGCATAATTATACCCGTAGCTAGTCAATCTCTCCTGCTAGACAGAACTTGACTATTGAAAAATGCTTTCTCTCCCACGATCTTATTCTGAGCCTCACAACAATCTTATAAAGTAGGAAGAGGATATATATATATATATATATATATTTTTTTAAAGATTTTCTTTATTTATTTGACAGAGAGATACATAGCGAGAGAGGGAACACAAGCAGGGGGAGTGGGAGAGAGAGAAGCAGACTTCCCGCGGAGCAGGGAGCCGGATGCGGGGCTCGATCCCAGGACCCTGGGATCATGACCTGAGCTGAAGGCAGCCGCTTAACGACTGAGCCACCCAGGTGCCCCGGAAGAGGATATATTTTAACCATTTCAGAGATGGAGAAACTGAGGTTCAGGGGAGTTGGCCTGTCTATCTAGTTAGTATAGGATGGACCTGGCTCTTGACTCTAGTTGCTCTCACACATTGTCTCATCCCACTAGACTGCAAAGAATTTTCCATTCAATTTTGCCATGACTATGTTGGTGCACTGTGGGTTGTCATTTACAACTTTCATATTACATGTGCTTTTCCAACAGTTGCAGTGACACACAGATCTACCTCAAAGTGAAACCAAAGTGGGACCAATAGACCTCAAGGAGAACAATCCAATCAGCGCAGGTCAGTAAAATGATGCAGGGCACAGGTCAGTAAAACGATGCAGGGAGTAACTCATGTTTTCATGAGTCACAGAGAGTGAAGGACGGGCAGGTTAAATGAGAAGCCACTTTCCTCTTCCAGGCAAGAGAGAAGTTGTCACTGCACAGTGAAATAAATGCCTGCCTATTTTATTTATTCTTCTTGTGTAGCTAAATCTATCAGTTTCCATGGTGCCCCACGTTCACCATGGAAACTCTGACAAGCTTGTTATGCTTTAGAGAAGAAAAAAAAGGCACACCAAAAATCCGAGATGGGATAAATGCATTCCTTTTAAAACTGTGTTCTTCTGAGTAGGAAGCCTTGATGGATAGCAAGTCATAATGATCTCGATTTTCCAGTTCTTAAGTGGGAACACAGGTTTGCATTCCCATCAAAGGAGCACCCTTGGCCCCCCAAAACTACTTTATCTGTGCAGCAATAGTTATGCCTGTGAGTATCTCACTTCTGCATTTCCTGGCAACAGAAAGATGGCTCAGTCCTCATTTTAGCTGATTTTTATGAGAATATTGCACTAGTCCC